ATATATATATATATATATAATTATATACGCACGCACGCACACCGATAAACGCGCAATGATGAAACAGTATAATATGATTGCGCTTTAACAATCATTATACTGGTCAGTTATAAGCGACAAATCTGAGCGGACGTACCGATGTGACACGCTTTCTTTGCTCGGTCGCATACAGGTCTGTTACTCTCAGCTCCACGTAAGTGATTTGGTCGTTCACAGTCGTCGTCCATGTGACACGGATCTCCAAACATTGGCACTATAAGAGAATAACGACGAATATAGATACAACAAATATTATAATGAACCCACATATAATAATGGTATTTTATTATTGCATGACGGTTTGAGGATAGATATATACATATAATTATTAGATCACGTTGTAATTGAAATAACTTGAAAAATTAAAACAATGACAACTACTCGTTAATTTTAAGTGAGCAGGAATGCTGAGCGTCACCAAGAATCTGTGATGAAAGAGTAAATTAGTAAATATTATAATATACGGACGTATAATTTTGTTTACTCAGACAATACCCATTGATGATAGCAGCGATGCACACAATTAAGTGCTGCTAATATTCATGCAAAAATCACGAAACATAATTACTGAAACCGCTTACATTTGCATTTCACGCATTTCCATTTCTAATATAAAGAACGTAAAACAGTGGTTGACTCGATGGAACGTTACCTTTCTGGCATTGTCCGTAGACCCTTACATAGCCGTGAGCAGTATTACAGTCACCAACATCGTAGCCGCGCGGCTCATGCTTAGCAACCTTGTCGAAATGGCGGTCATACTGGTTGGAAGTGAGGCCGAAATACGTGTTTCTACAATAACATCATACAGAATAACATCAGGAATCATTTGGAATTCTTAGACACTGTGGCATGTAACTCGGGCATTGGTTAACGAAAATTTAAGAGCGTGTTATAAATGAGTTAGCGTTATATCGATTTATATATTTGATCAAATATATTTTGATGAAATAGACAAGGTCGCGCTGACACGGAAATGTCATGGAATTTGATGAGACACGGGAAACTCCACCCAATAGACAGGTATTTATATCTTCTTTTGAAAATTAAAGAGGAAAGAAAGTGTTAGCTGCTAGTGTTTCCTAATTAATTGGCTGGTAAACGAGTCTCGTTGTAAGTGATTGAACAAACCGTCTTATGTTGGATCAACATTATAATATATTAGTGCGTGCGAGTGTGAGTGCGTATGTGCATGCGCGATGCGTGCGTGCGTACGCATGAGCGCGTGTTTGTTGTTATCCGTTTGATGTTTTTCTATTTGGAACAAAGCAAAGTTGTTTAAATATTTGGTCTTCTGCACAAATAATAACTTATACAGATTACAGAATATCTCATTGACGAGCAACCCAATGTTTTAGTCTACTGTATCTATAGCAACATACCTAGTTCTTAGCAATCTCTCAGCATCTCCACTATTTGTCACAGGATGGCTATCGTAACCTTCGCTTGCAGACAGCTGATATACCTGTACATATATGTACGTGTTTACATAAAGGTGCATATAGCCGATTTCATGTAGCATTTCGTTGAAATTAATACGCTTGATCCCATATTGATCTCGCTACAAATTTCTTTGCTACCAGCAAGAGTTTATTGCGTTGATGCTTATCTAGGACGATGGCTATTGTTAGGTAAAAACATCATTATTTCCGTACTTACGTTGCTGATGCAGATGGTCAGGGTGAGAATAAAACGCAACATCTTGCCACAGTGATCTCTCGCGCGCTACCTCTCGCTTCTTGTTCACAGAGGCGAGCTCAACGCAAATGCTTATATATTAGCTGACCAACCCCTTCAACGATGCAACCAGGAAATCTGACCTCTCTTTTAGCTCTTGCCGGTCATTTCCTTGTACCTGTGCACCGTCCACGGCGGTCACCCTTTCGTCCGAATTCTCTGGTTATTATGCAACCCGCTGGCTCTATATCTGTCGAGACAAGCACTTACACGACAGCGCTTTTATTATAAACTAATCTGATACATGGTGCTAACTCAATCACGCGGTGTATCTACGCGAACCTTTAGTACATGTGATTTTCTTATTCCCCTAACCCATCATTTGATTACAACACGGATAACTACGTATTAAAATATACAAGCTGCATGAGATTCTTAAGGACTAGTAGTCTGTTTAATTGGATAATTCTCATGTATGTGTAATACAAGTGTTTCCTTATTTCCTCTGTCTAAATTTTCTTCTGTATATACACACAAACGCAAGTACATATATATGCACGCACATGCATGTATCGACACACGCATGCGCACACGCACGTACATGCTAACGAACACAAACACACACGCACATACACGCACGCATACGTACACACGGACATGCACGCACGCATAGAGCGCACACGTACACACGCATACACATCACGCCGACGCGCACGCACGCACACACTTACACATACACACACACACGCACACGCCAACCCCCCCTCCCCCACACACACATACACACATACACACATGAAAATTCAAAGCAAATGTATAGTAACGTGCAAAATTATTTAATAATTATGATGGTTACAAAAAGTGTTAAACGAACAACAGTATTTTGACTAAAAAGAGTAAACAGCATAAAATAATTGATCGAAATAGATACGCAAATAACACACGGAAAATAATATAAAATGATCCTAATATTGTGGAAGGTTGTCACCAAAAAGCGATAGCATACATTGCATCGAACAGATTTTGGCGAGATTTGTTTTATGGAGAATATTACGACAGTGCGAATCCCAAAGACGATTTTTCATAATGATTGAGATAGCAGAAGTAGAGATAATGTGCGACACACGTGATAACAATATGTAAAAAAACCTAGAAATGTTACAGAAGCAAATAGATAGCATTCATTGCATCGAACTGATTTTGGCGAGATTTGTTTTATGGAGAATATTACGACAGTGCGAATCGCAAAGACCATTTTTCATAATATTTCAGATAGCATAAGTAGAGATAATGTACGACACACGTGATAACAATATGTAAGAAAACCTAGGCTAATATGCTACAGTAGACGCTACAACATTGGGGAATTGATGCGTGCAATGAGATATTCCTGATAATCTGTATAGTTATTATTTGTGCAGAAGACGAAAATATTTAAACAACTTTGGGCTTTGTGCCAAATAGAAAAACATACAAACGGATACAAACAGAAACACGCGCGATTCGATGGGCGTACGCACGCAAACGCATGCGCGCAATGCACATAAGCACTGACTGCCACATCTGCGCACGCAGCTAATATACTATATGTTGATGCAACATAAAAGACGCGGTTTGTTCAATCACTTACAACAAGACCCCGTTTTACGCAGCATTAAGCTAGGAAACACTAGCAGGCTATACACTTTTCTTTGCCTCTTTAATTTTCAAAAGAAGATATAAATACCTCGTCTATTGGTGGGGTTTCCCGTGTCTGGCATCAAATTCCATGAACATATCTGGTGTCAGTGGCGTAGCGCTTGTCTATTTCATTCAAAATATATTTTTCAAATATATAAATCGATAGGAACGCTAAGCTTCATTTATGAACCCACGCTGCTTAAATTTTGGTTACCATGCCCTGAGTTAATATGCCAAACAGTGTGTAATATTCCAAATGAATTGCCTGATGTGGATTTCTGTATGATGTTTTGTAGCAAACAGCGTATTTCGGTCCTTCACTTCAACCAGTAATGACGGCGCGCATTTCGACAAGGTTGCTAAGCATGAGCCGCGGCGGCTACGATGTTGGTGACTGTAATACTGCTCACGCTATGTAAGGGTCTACGACAATCGCCAAAAGGTAAATCGTTCCAGTTGCAGTCAACGGCACTGTTTACGTTCTTTATATTAGAAATGGAAAATGGCGTAAAGATGTGAATGTAAGCGTTTAAGTAATTATGTTTCCGTTGATTTTGCATAAATATTAGCAGCGCTTAATTGTGTGGCATCGCTGGGCTATTCATCATGGGTATTCGTCGTTGAGTAAACAAAATTGATAACCGTCCGTACTATTATAATATGTTACTAATTTTACTCTTTTGCATGCAGCAGATTCTTGTGACGCTTGCAGTCATTCGCTGCTCACTTAGATTGAACGAGTAGTTGTCATGTGCTTTTTACATTTTTGCAAGTTATTTCATATTACAACCGAGATGCTAATAATTAATAGTGTATATATCTTCTCAGATTCGTCATGGCAATAATAAAATACCATTATTATATTATGTGGGTTCATTATAATATTTGTTGTATCTATATTCGTCGTTATTCTCTATCATAGGTGCCAATGTTTGGAGAATGCGTGTCACACGGACGACGACTGTGAACGACGGCAAATCAGCTTACGTGGAGCTGAGAGTAACAGACGCTGTATGCGACCGAGCAAGAGAAAGCGTGTCACATCGGTCACGGCCTGCTCGAGATTTGTCGCTTATAACTGACGCGCAGTATAGTTATTGTCTAAACGCGCAATGCATATTATACCTTGTTTCTGTGCATTGCGCGTTTATCGGTGTGCGTGCGTGCGTACTAATAATTTATATATTATATATATTATATAATATATATATATGTGTGTGTAGTGAGTGTGTGTGTGTGTGTGTGGTGTCGTGTGTGTTTTTTGTGTGCGTGTGCTGTATGTGTGCGTGCGTGCGTGTATGTGTTTGTGTGTGTGTGTGTGTGTGTGTGTTGTGTGTGTGTGTGGTGGTTCGTGTGTGTGGTGTGTGGCGAGTGTGTGTGTGTGTGTGTTTCTGTGTGTCTGTGTTTGCGTGTATGTGTGCGTGTGTGTATGTGTGCGTGCGTGCGTGTATGTGTGTGTGTGTGTGTGTGTGTGTGTGTGTGTGCATCGTGTGGTGGACGCGTTGCGGCGCATATTGCAAGTATATTGTTACACTAACAGTAAAATTACGGATTTGCAATAACCTTTAGTTAAATTGTGGTATTATACTTCTTATCTGATAGGAAGCTGCATTTGACTTTTCAAATGAAGCGTGGATGATTATATTAGAGAATGACCGCGACATGCTAATGGCTATTTGCAGGAAAGTGACTCGGGAGGTTTCTCGCCTGAGTAACACGTGAATGCATGCTGGTGGGCACCTCGTTACGGCGATTGTCCATGTCTGAATAATGGACGATGAGAGCTGTTGGTCAGAGATACGCTAGACATCTGCAACCTTTACAGGCGCACTTGCCTCGTGTTTGCAAACTCGTATGTCCACCGACCAGGAGTGCGAAGATGCAGCGTGCACTCACTGTTGCATCGAAAGTTGTAAGATAATATATTAAGAACATATTTATTTACGAGAAAAATACGCGTTCGTTTCCGATGGGCTCAGATATACTGTCATGATATCAATTGGTATCAAGAGCAGATAATACACAGATGTGTATTATCTTGCTCTTGATTGTATTCAATGAGACGCGCAACATTTTATAATGCATCCAGTCATATACTTGCCAACGAAAATATGCTCGCTCAAAAGTAGCAACAAAATTTTAAGCGTATTAATTTTTCCTCATGTTGTCATAAGATAAACATAAGATGTTTGGGCGTGAAATTGGTGGTGAATAATTTCGCATAAGTAAATCTACATCGAATTATGTGTCAGGTGAAACATTAACTGCAGGCTGTGTTTGTATATGTTGTACAGGGTGAAACATAACTGCACTGTGTTGTATCGTGTGCAGGTGAACCTAACTAACTGCACTGTGTTGTATACGTGTGCAGGTGAAACCATAACTAACACCCTGCAGCTGTGTTGTGTACGTGTGGCAGGTGAAACATAACTTAACGTGCACTGTGTTGTATACGTGTGCAGGTGCAAACATAACTAGACTGCAACTGTGTTGTGGCACGTGTGGCAGGTGATAACATAACTGAAGCTGGCACTGTGTTGTGGCACGTGTGCGGCAGGTGAAACATCAACTAAGCTGCACTGTGGTTGTGGGCACGTGTGCAGGTGAAAGCATAACTAACTGAAGCTGTGTTTGTGGTAGCGTGTGCAGGTGAAACATAAGCTAACTGCACTGTGTTGTGTACGTGTGCAGGTAATCGCATAATTAGCACTCGTGTTGTGGCACGTGTGGGGCAGGTAATCGCATAATTAGCACTGTTGTTCGTGCAGCGTGTGGCAGGTGGAGGCTAACTGACACTGTGATGGTGAAAACAGCACATTGTGGCTGCGGCGCTTGTGAATGAAAGAATAATACGAGACGAAGCCGAAAGGGAAAGGTAGGCAGAAAATCGAATTTAGCCCGATATTTTATTTGGCCTTCTATAAGATTTTTCAAGTTTTTATGATCAATGTTAGTT